GACAAACTATTATATTCTCCCTAAAATACCCGTTCTTCTTAGAAAATTAAAAATACTACCAAAAACTACATCCCCAGATGACCTTTGAAACAATTTCCTTATATCTAGTTTATTTTTATTCCTGTCTAACTCTCTACGCAACATCTCTCTTTCCTGAGTATATTTATTACATTCTAAAAAAATATGTTGGACAGTTTCTCTGGAGCCGAGGTATTGCATTGAACTCATTACACTGATATTGTGCAGTATTTTTGCAGTATTTTTTGATGCAACTTTTCTACTTCTGTTATTTGCTGTTGTTTCTAAAGAAAATGCATAATGATATTACAGCTTTCATTGATTTATTTCAAACTTGAAACTTTGTTTAGCCTGTAAGGTGTAAAAAAAAAAATAATAATTAAAAAAAAATTAATCGATTAATCGAATCGAATCGAATCGTGGTGTATTCTTGAGTATCGAAAATAATCGAATCGTTGGGTCAGGAAATCGATACTGAATCGAATCGCCATGGTGGATGTGATTTACACCCCTACTGTATAATCAATTGTGTTCAAACAAAAGTAGCTGATAACATTCTATTACAGTGGAATGTTAATATCATCAGCTTGGATTTTATTTTAGCATAGTTTAAAAGTCGTTGAAATAATTCTTGAATTCAGGTAGACAGGTATTTTTGTGGATCTTTCAGAAACAGTACGAACTTCTCAGCCACAAGGTCAACCCATGCTTCCAGATTATGGTCCTCCCCCTTATGAAGGTCCACAACCCGGCTTCCTACCTCCACATGTCCCAGGAGAAGGACCCATGCCTATGCCCATGCCGATGCAAGGTGATAAAGTTCGTCCTCAAATATCAGTAAACAACCTGTAATTACAATGTTACTGCGTCTGTGAATCTCTCAATCTACCACCAAACATCGCACAGCATTCAGTGAACCCATGGCACATTCGCTTTTTGTGATTTCTGTTTTTTTTTTTTTTTTATACTGTTTGTGTAAATACATCATTTATTGTCACCGCATTTATCACTTTCCTTTTTAAAGTTATTTTTTTTTTTTCAGTTTCTTTAATTTTTTTCATGATCTTTTCAGTCTGTATTTTTTGTTTCTGTTAATACTTTATTTCCTAAATTCAATCTTTGCAGGTATGGCCTACCCACCACCACCAGGTCACTTTGCCCATCCAATGCCTCCACCACTACAAGGTGCAGAAGTTTGTCCGTAGATACCAGAAAACACAGTTGATCACGCTGTCTCTGTGTGTATGTGGATAATAGAATATGAGAGGAGGTGTATTCTCTTGTTTTGACCCAGTCTAGGAATAACATCAGTGACTATTTATTGTTCATATTTTATTTTGAAACTCATTTAAATCGTTTATCCATTTTTTTGTCATTTGCATTCACTGGCTGTAAATTCTGTTTGCACATTGATGTGTAACCATGTCAAATGAGCCTTCTCTACAAGGTTCTTATATTCCATATTCAATACTCTACTTTTTTGGATTCATTCTCTGCAGGCGGCCCATACCCGCCTCCACCGGGTCACTTCGCTCAGCCAGTACCAGGACAGATGGGCCCAGGTCCCAGCCACTTTGTCCACATGGGAGGACACACAGCGACCGTCCTGGCTCCTCCGGGTGCAGCCACCACTGTAACAGTACTGCAGGGCGAAATGTTTCAGACCTCACCAGTGCAGACCGTGTGTCCGCACTGTCAGCAGGCGATCGTCACCCGCATCTCTCATGATGTCGGGCTCATGAACACCCTCTTCTGCCTCTTCTGTTTCTTCGTAGGGTAAGTTCAAAAAGTCAGTGCGTGCCACTGCGCTGAATGTTTTGTTTGCAAACCTCATCTGTTGTGCAGGTGCAAAGAATAGCATTTTCTTCCAGTGTTGAGACAATCCTTATTATTTCACATTTTCAACCAACTTATATTCTCCATTGGTGGATTTTGTTGGGTATCTTTTTCTTTTCTTCGCTCCCAGGTGTGATCTTGGCTGCTGCTTGATTCCCTGTCTGATTGATGACCTCAAGGATGTTACACACACCTGCCCTAACTGTAAGGGCTACATCTACACATACAAGCGCATCTGCTAACCACGGACAGCTACTTGCCACAGAACCATGTACATGCACACATCAACACGAACTCTCAGCTCCCCCTGCTGGTAGTGACAGGAAACCCCAGCTCCATCCCATTTTGTGTAGCCCTATGATATCGTAAGTGAAGTTTTCTCATAAGTTTGCAGGATATTTACTGTGTGTATCTCTCGCAACCTCCTGAAATGTATAAACAAGGATTTGAAATGTTCGAAACCTATGGTCTGCTGAAGATAAAGTGCGATATATAAAGAATGAGGAAATGAAAGGGCTGCAGTAGTGCAGGGACAGCTGTGAGCCTACAGACGTTCTCATCTTATGCATGTCAAGAAGTAAAAGAAAAAACGCTAGCCTCAGTTAGATAATGCTGTGAAAATGCTAACTTTATTTGAAGTAATTTGTGAATGTTACTCAAACTGTGAGATTTTTTTTTTCTTCCTGATCATCCTAGAAATGTATCAGTCTGTTATAACACTTATGTTTAGTGAACCTTCTGTGCATTTTCTTTTCCTCACAGATCTCTCTTCTTTTCTTCTTTTGGTTTTATGGGATCCAATTAAAGATTAAAAGTGATGCATTTATTACATGCTGTATTTATTTTTGTCCAGTCACTATGTCCAGTGACTTGCTGCTTTGCTGTTACTAACTTTGTCCATGTTTAGTTTGTAATAAACAATTGCACTTTAATTTTCACATCCACTGCTAGCCCCTTTTGTTTTTCAGAATATTATAAGTAGAAGCATCTTTATTTGGTCTTTAGCTCAGTGAAATGAATGAACATGCACTTACTGAAAACATGTTGAAAGTATGAGGTATGTTTTTTTTTCACTGATAGGGGGAAAACATGCATGGCATGTTAGTAATGGCATTTACTTTGGCAGACTGATGCACTAAATATAGATGCAAAAATCAACCTTGGTTCAAGTTCATTAAGTCTATTTGCATTGCTCTGATGCATGTTAGATTGCAAATACTTTAAGCTTCAATTAAGAGAAAATTAAAATGACTGCAAATCAACTTAAGTTCCACAGAATTATCTTCTGCCAATAAATGATTAGTGCACAATCACTGCATGTCCAATCCTTTGTTCACTAATGCCTATGAAGAGTTGGCTCCCTAGATCAATGTGCATCCTACTTATTTTGTTTTTCTTGAGACTGACAAATCAGTGCAAATCAAAGGATTGCAATGAAATGTTCTTATTGTGAAATCTGCATTGCTATGTCCGTGATAATGTATGACAATGTAAGGCAGTTTACAAGACTGTTGTACACAGGTAATATTTTATCAATAAAAGTCATGAAGAAAGCGTCCTTTATTATCTTATGTTTATTATACTGGAGAAGTGGCAAACAAATGTAATATTAATTTTAAGGGAAGCAGTTCTCAAGAGATGGAGCAGAATCAGAAAATGACTTAAACCTCTCACAATAAAACAAAACAGTCAATCTCTCCATCTATGGCCACACTGTGCATTGCAACATTTGTAGAAGGTCGTCATCGGCTCGTCAGCTGATCTGGTTTGGATCTGCATGAAATAGGCCCGGGGATGCTCACACTTGGGGCAAGTTTCTGTACAAAAACACAAATGCAAATTAGCAATTACTTTGATCCAACATTTTGAATTTTTACTTTCCTGCCAAGATGTTCATTTACGTGGTAAAGTGTCAGTGACATTTTTATTTTTGAAAACATAATTGAAATTTAGGTAAACCATTCTTAAATAAAATGCCACTTACTAGGGGTGTCCTGATAAGTTTTAATTTCTGATACAATACTGATATTGCACCTTTGAGAACTGACCAATAAGATATTGATTATATACATATCAGCATGAATAATATATACTTTTAATGCTTATTTTGAAGTGGGGATTGTTATAAAAGATTTGATAAATATTCCCCAAATGGAAAAATACTAAAGAGCAATAGGCATGAAAATAACTGAACCCTTTATTAATAACCAATGGGTTACAAAAACTTTAGATTGAAGCATTCTGCTTCTATTAACATGCCAATATTTGAGATTTTAGGTACATGCGTTATATATATTACATCTTATATACACATGGTTCAGTGATGGTAATGGTTCTTAAACCATCTATATTATTTACCCCTTGTGCTTTAAACGGATAATTTTATAAGCATTTATTTAAAAATTATGATTTAAACTCAACTCAGAACTACCTGGTTAAAAGGTATACTAAAAAGTATAGTTTTGCCCAAGACAATAAAAAACAAGGGTAAGGTGATCGCTTTTTAAATATATATCTGAACGTAGTTTTACAAACCTGCAGTTGAATCCACGTTCTCCCAGGCTGCAGCACCACCAAGAACATCATCCACCTCCTTTAATTTGGGATATTTTCTGTTGTTTACCTGCGAAGGAAAAAAAAAAAGAAATTTAACTTATAATAAAAGTTTAAAACAAGAAGGTATAGCAACACAACACCGGTGGAAAATCGCTTTCTTTACCTTTCTAGTGATGTTGTGCACATATGGACAAGTGTTACAGGCGAATCTAAGACATTTTTGTCCTTCTTCGACTATTAAAACATTCCCACAGGTTGGACAAAACAGTAACATTCTGACAAGACAAAGTCCGGATCAATTCAAAGAGAAAATAAATCGTTTAGAATCTCGACGCAAACATTTGCTGCGTTTCATAGCGGAAGTGCAGCACATAAAGCAGGTCGTTAGGAAACACGGTGAAGGAGCCTCCTGGTGGTTAAACTGCACACAAATGAAAATTATTTTAAAAGATTTAGCAACTTTTATTAAGTTAAATTATTGTATATGTTTTACAACGTACAAAATATTATTTATGTATGATCGTATCATAAGAAATGTTATTTTGATTAAGCGGAACACTATTTGAGGATTTCGATTTTTCCACCGGATGTATATTTTGAGCGTTCCACATTAAAACAATCACCTCGCTCTTAGGAGATAACATGTTTAGTTATTTGTTTTCGTCTTTTTTTCGGATTAAATCGGACTTTTGTCTGATTGTTGAATTATTTCAGTAAGGTTTGAGATGGAGACGGAGAATAATCTAAGCGCAGAGGGTGAGATTCTTAATGAGGAGGAGGTGAAAAAGGAGAAGCTGTCATCAGAGGAGCAGGAGGCAGCAACAGCAGAGGAAGAAGATGAAGATGAAGATGCTCTCCCGCACTCGGAGATCCTGGATATTTTCGAGGAGGGACTGGCTCGACTTGTGCAGGACCCTTTGCTCTGTGATTTACCAATACAGGTGTGCAGGATCAAAAAACAAAACAAAAAAAACGTGTCATTGTTTTGTTGAATAATACTGCAAAGCTTAACTCAAGATTAAACTCTTGGTGACATGTTCATTTTCTGTCTCTATTAAAACCAGTTGATATAAAGCGGAGTTTATATTGGGCAAGAGATGCGCATCTAATTAAGCGCTTTTGTTAATCAATGCAAAACCTTCATCCTGTTTGACAAACGAATTGCTTTCAGGAAAGTTTATATTTTGTGGTTTGTTTAACATGCAACATTTTAAACCTATAATTTACTAACTATAATTTAAGTTAAAGGAAAGTTTGTTTCTTGTTGCAGTATTTCCAGATTACTTGTAGCAGCCAAGTACTTTTCTAACATTAGAGACTTTTTTAAAAAACAAACCTTTAAATTTCATAGATAATTTCTATGCCTTTCTGAATGATCATTCAAAGATAAGTTTAAATTTGATAAAAAAAAAAAAAAAAAAAAAAATATATATATATATATATATATATATATATATATATATATATATATATATATATATATATATATATTTATATATATAGATGACTATTCTGTTTTCAGCTAATAGCTCTACATAGCAAATACATTATTCTAAGATGTTCTAAAAATTCTAAAATGTTTTCAGTTATTGAGTTATTCTCGCCGTTATCTTGCTAATCCTTTAGATTACTGCTGAGGGTTCAAGGAGAGATTCTACATTAGAATTGAGGGAGTTGCCTGTTTCTGTTTCGCTTGGATGTGATTGCAGATAGATTGTCTTTATCATCCAAAGGAAATTTGTCTTGGATACAAACATTGGCTACTCTTTAGAATAAGACCCTTAAAATCCCTGATTTATACTAGGGGTGCACTGATTACAGGTTTCTGGTTAATAATCAATTCCCGATCTTTAAAAAGCCTAACATGCCGATTCTGATGTTGACCAATGCAGATTTCATTTTACAACTGACACTGTTATAAAATCATGACACGACATATTTCATTCTTATCTTAAAAAATAAAATAAAATACATTAATCACTGCCAGTGAAACAATAGAAACCTCTGAAATAACTGCTGTTATAAAAATATAAATTAAAGTTTAAGGGATTAACAATGGGTGGTTTTTAGACCTTTACAGAGGTAGATCAGATTGGTGGAAAAATCTGTTTTACATCTAAGTATAGGCCAATCTACTGCCTCCCAAAAGTATAATTAAGGCTGAATTGGCCGGCTGATTAATTGGTGCAGCCCTAATTTATATTTACACCCACTTCTCTTTTATATGTAGTAAATTTTTCATTTGTATTTTTTCAGATCAATATAATAATTAATAAGTAAAAGCAGACATGGAAAAACAGATCAATGTTCATCTGACTTGTCTGCATTCACGGTTTTGTGTTGTTTTTCCAATGCTGTTTATGGTTTTGATGTCTGGTGCAGACATAATGAACCTCAACACTTCATGTAAGGAAATTGCATAATAAATCTATGAACCTGAAATACAGGAAGGTAGCAAATAAAAAACAAAGCAGGTGTGTATGGTTCTCAGCACCATATTTAATAGCTAAATGTTAAAGCTAAAGTTTTGTGTTTGGAAAAGATTAAATTAGAGGGCATATTGTCTTAAGCTTTTCCCCTGCTTTTAGTTTAGTTTTATTGTGCGTGTTTCTTTTATTTTATGCATATAGCAGGAATTGAATTCAAAGAGCCTATATCCTGCTTTTCTTAAGCCTTTCAAAGTCACCTATTGGCAAATATATGGTAAATAAGGCCTTTAATGCTACATGGATATTCATTTGTTCTGAAATGTAGTGGTTTTCTTTCAACCTTGAAGGAAAACACTTCATCAAAGTTAGGACATGTCTCCCTCTCTGGGTGAAGCTTGTTTAATCAGACTACTTCTGAAGGCTGTAAAAAGGCAGAGACCTCTTGAGGGCAAAAACAGATTTTCATGGTGTAGACATTTGCTTAAAAAATGGAGGCTTCTGCCATGTCTAGATAAGCAGCTAAAAGCCGTTTCTTCTTAACTTTGAGATTGCATTGCAAATGTATTTAAATCATTGTTAAAGTAAACCTACCCTTCCAGACCTAATTCCTTTGTAGGTATTCTCCAGCCACGTGTTTTCTCAGGACAGTGAGGAGCTGCTTCTCAGACAGCAGAACTTCTGAGGATAACTCAGAGTTGCATGAATCAAAAGAAATACCACCCTGACTGATTTTGATCAAGGAAAATATTTAAAAGCTAAAAAAAGTTGATTTTGCATTATATAGGCCCTTTAAAAGCTTATTTATGTGTTGAATTTTGTCCCAAATATGGAGAAAACATAACATTCCCACAAAGTTTGGACATTTTCATATACATAAACACTTTTAGTGTTTAAACTCTTCTTTTTTGTTCTTGTTATATCTTCCTGTGGTCGTTTTTTTCAGAGCTCTCCCATCGTAATTATGGAAGACCTGTAAGAAAGGTTGGATTTAAATGCTCATTGAAGCTCTTTATTTTTTTCAGGTCACCCTTGAAGAGGTGAATTCCCAGATTGCACTGGAGTACGGCCAAGCGATGACCGTTAAGGTTTTAAAGGCAGATGGTGAAATAATGCGTAAGTTTTTATTTTTTGGTAACATCTTTATACTAAATTGTTGTCGATAGCTGGTTATAATGTCTCTCTATCTGTCTCATTAAAATAGCCATAGTTGTTGTCCAGAATGCTACAGTCCTGGATCTGAAGAATGCCATTCGCAGGTTTATGGAACTCAAACAGCAGCGAGAAGGCGGAGTCAAACATATCAGCTGGTAGGATGCTGACATACACAAGAAAATAAACAATGATCTGTAAATAACTTAACGCTGTTCCCCTTTATTTCTCAGGAGATATGTTTGGAGAACCTTCCACCTGGTATTTCAAGGCGAGAAGCTTGAAGATGACACTATGAGGCTTAAAGAGTGAGTGTTTATACTTACGCCTTGATGTAACTATTCTAAGATCATAACTCTCTGAAACTTTTTGGTAAATTTTCATCTTTAGTTATGGGATCAGGAACCGAGATGAAGTGACGTTTATGAAGAGACTCAGAAAGAAGTAACCCAGGCGACATCTACTTTCATGTGGAGGATAAACACGACTTCCTGCAAAGCACACCGTCAAATGTTAAAAAATAAACACAATTTTGTGTTATTCCTTTTTTTTGTACACTTTTTCATAGATATTTCCTGGTTTTATATATTTTGTAACATTTTCTTCCTATCAAATTAAATACGTGTGATCTGAATAAATACAATGTCATTTTTTTATTTTTTTACAATAAAATCTATTTGGATTTTTACTATGCGAGCACATGTCTGTGTCCTTTTCTTCCATGTCACTCAGAGGGTTGTGTAGCATTTGGCAAAAATGGGAGTTATAAACACCGCCCAAATGATTTGAATATTTCCTGCAAGATGGGAACAGTATTCACTTGTTCACATGATATATTTCACCTGTGAAGGAGACAGCGGAAGCAGCAAAGTAAGAACAGGAATTTTCTCATAGTGGTATGTATTTTTATATCTTTATTGCTTTAACAGGTTTATAAGATATTTTCTTATAAACCTAAGATTTGTTTATAGAATGTATTTCTCTGTAGATTTGAGGAAAAAAAATAAATAAATAAATAAATAAAATAAATATATATATATATATATATATATATATATATATATATATATATACATATATGATCATATATACATATATGATCTCAGTTAATTAAGACTCAGGTTTTATAATTTTTTACCACCCGTTTATACAGTGGAAGGTTTCTTGGTGGAGACAAAAACAGGAACTGTGTAGGTTTTAAATGCTAAAACTAGTTTCAGGATTATTTTAATGGGATAATAATAGGGAAACCATTTCAATGCCAAATAAATGTTTCTATGCACTAAAGTTAGTCTGTGTAGACTTTGAGGGTTACATAGCTAAACCAGAAAATTTACATTTCTGTTGTGTTGTTTCTTTTACAAAAATAAAGAGATCTATTGACGACTATGCTCTGTAAATATAAGTCTGTGGGGTTGAAATTTGTCCTACTTCTTTCACACTAGTGGGGAAATCTTAAATAAAACCTAAACCTGAGCGCCCTGCAGGGGATGTAGAGCTGGTCCAACATTTCCTGAATGGGATTAAAACCTGACTGCTCCTCCTAAAGCCGAGGTTTGATCAGCAAAGGCCTTCCCAGGAAAACGGAGATGTGTGGTGCCTCTGAAAATTGACACACCTTCCGTTCCCCCTTGAAGAGGGGCCACTAGTCTGCTAGTCCAGGGGCACTGTGCCTGATCACCAAGTGATGTTATAGAGGATTCTCAGCAACAAAGGCCCCACAATCTCCACGGACCTGAAGTAAAAAGAGCGGATAGCATCCATCGCCAAAGCTTTGCCACTATGGATTTTTTCGACCACCTCCTTGAGCTTTGATAATGAGTCTAACTGTTGTGTGAGCATTGTTTTTATTAATGTCAATCTGCTTCTAGCACAGAAGTCAGATAATGGGGTTTAAAATCAAGGTGCCCATTCTTTCCAATAACGCCCTTGCAGGCATCACTGCCATTTCCCACATAGGCGTTAAATCTCCAATTCAGATAATGACCCTTGAAAGGGATACTGTCCATATTAGCTGTATAAGGTAATCCAAAAATAAATATTAGTAAAAATATGACAACAGAAAATGACTTTGTTAAAAGTGAAAGTCACTGATAAGAAAGTACTTGAATAAAAGTCAGGACATGGTTCCCAATAATTGGGAAAGTAAAAGTAGTAAGTGTTTTTTTATTTAAAAAGAAGCAAAGATGAGTTTTTTTTTTTTTTTTTGGTCGATCCCTTCACTTTTCTAAAAACAGTGAAAAAAGAATTTCTTGATAACTCACTTAAGCCCTAAGAAAACATGGCAATCAAACAGTACCTTCTGTCCATAAGAACTCAGAATAACACAAAAGCCTTCACAGAATGACAAGCATCCACACTTCTGGTGTATGCCTGGGAAAACTAAAAAGTAAATGTGTCCGTTCTGCCATATAGGGAAAAAGCTGAAGTGTAATATGTCAAATTTGCCTAGAAGCAAAACAACACAAATCTCACTGCACCTTACCACCTCTAATGGGGAATGGTTTAGTGGTAACTTTGGATATCGGCTTTTAGGAAAATATTACGAATGAAATGTAGTGGAACAAATGTTTTTTATACCCCTTTAGAAATAAAAAAGAACAGAAATGAACTTTTCTGATTTAGAAGAGACATACTAAAAAAATAAATAAAAATGTAAATAAACTTATATCACCACTCATATCAAAACCATATCACCACCAACCATTTAAACCCCAGAACCAGTCTCAGAATCCGAGGATCAAGTTGTTTACTTTAAAGTGGTTATTGCAGAAGCATTCAAAAACTACTTTAAACCTATGTGGAAAAAGTAAACTTTCATCTCAGGCTGGAGCTAAATGAGGCTTAGGAGAGTACTGGATAACCCTGATATCTGAGATTTTTAAATGGTTATTTCTGAAATATTAACACAAAAGAAGATTTACAAGGAAAAATGTAAAGAGATAAAAAAGAAAGTTTAATTTAACAAGCAAATAGCAAACGAACCAATTGGCAAACACACACAAATTATTTATATTAAGAAAAAACAAAACACAAGCGATTAATAGAAATTAATTTGACAATAAGCTATACACAAACTTAAGATAATGAAAATGATTTATTTTTGTATGGCTGCATTTACTTTAACAAGTGACACCCAGGCCTGAATAGAGAAAAACCTGTAAAATGATAAGCTTCACTTAGAACATATAGAACCGAAGTAGCCTAAAGAATCTCAAACTCAATGCTTGTCAAACTATAAACTTACAGAGAAGTAAAATCAGAAAAATTAGGTCTTTCTTTTTAGGCTTTTAAGGTCCACAGAAGGCACTATCTGCAAAGAACAAAAGCATTAATTGCTCACATTGTCTGCCAATCTTTCAGCTGCCGCCATGAATTCTTCACTTGATGAGGTGGACAACATATCTGTGGACCTGAAGGAGATTTCACTAAAGATTCAACAGCTTGAGGACAGAAGGAAAATCTTGTGTGTATTCCAGGAGCTGAGGAATCGGGCTGAATTTGGACAGACAGGTAAGAGTAGTGGAATCCCAGCAAATGAATCTTCTAAAGTTATTGACATATGTTCTTTGAATGTTCCTCGCTGTTGTTTTCTTAACAGAGGAAGCAGCTGCTACGGAAAAAGAGATCAATTACATTGACAGTAGACTGAGAGAGCTGAGGACAAAGAAGGCTGATCTCCAAAATAACTGTGACAATATCTTAAATGCAAAAGATAATAAACACAACAGTGGTGAGCACGGTGAGTGTCCCAAACCGAGTGCAACGTTTTTCATGCTTGAGTCTTGTAACTAATTTTGTTTTTTATTTTGTGTCAGATATACAGTGCAGTTCTAACAAGAATACTAATGTTGACGTTCCTGAAACTAAAATTTTCTTTGTTGAACCTCCTCCTGCTTACCCCGGTGAGTCAGCAAGCCTCCGAAAATACTCGTTGGAGAGGCTGCAAAGCAAGGCACAATTATATGGACCAAGTGCAGATGTGATATTGGGGAATGATTTCTAACGACTACAGTTCTGCTGTATATTTAATCCTGGTTAAAAATAAAAGAGACACATTTTATAAATTTGTTTGTATTCTTACAGCCCCAGAAGTTATTCTGGATGTTGGAGATCTTCCTACAGAATCTGCCAGGACACAGTGCCCAGAGTGCAAACAGTTTGTCATAACAGAAACGTTGTCTTCCGTCAGTAGCGTGACCTGGCTTGTTTGTTTTATGATGGCTTTGATAGGGTATGCACTTTCCCTTCCATTTGGGTTGTTGGTGAAATATTTGCCTAAGCACATAATTAGATTTTGCTGAGCCTGTTCCTGTTTGCTCAGCCACTTCCACTTTTGTTGTCATCTGCAGTTTTTGTTTTGCTCTCATTTTTGCAGCTGTGTGGCCGGTTGCTGCCTCCTTCCTTTCTGCATGAAAAGATTCAAGTCCACCACACACAGATGTCCAAAGTGTCGGTCAAATATCAGGATCATCAAGAAGCTCTGAGAGGAGATGCAGGCGGTGAGCAGCTGCAGTTTAAACTGCGAAAGCACTGGACCAATGGTCACTGGTGATTTAGAAACTGCTGAGAGGATCTGCAAAGGAGTCTGGTTGGCAGCATCAACCTCTATCATGCAGGCTATGCTGAAAATCCATGTCTAAAGATTTATTTTTATGAACTCTAAATATAAATCCCAGCTGAATGGATTTAAAGAAGCATATTTTTATAGGTTCAGTAGATGTTTGCTTGTATATTTGTTACATAGTAGATTTGTAAAATTTATATTTTAGGTATTAAGAAATTCCACTTCAAAAAGCTCTTTAGCAGTAGTTGGTGAAGCATTTTAAAAATGTTCTTTTCAATAATTTCAGCTTGCTGATAGTAACATATTCTCTAACAAAATGTTTTCCTTTTATTGTTTTTATTCAGAAAAAAATATATAGACCAATTGTGTCTTTGTGAACTGCTGCTAATGACAATGTGCCAAAAATTTTGGTTAGACGTAGCAATGGTCTATTTTTTGCGTTTAGGAAAATTTTACAAGGATATCATTTGACACCATTTTAAATGTCCTTGACTTTGAAAGATAAACAAATAGTAATAAGAAATTAGTTGTAGTATTACTGTACAATGCAACAGGGGAGTATTAACTTTGCTGCACAATTGACCACATGTACAGTAGAGCCTTATTCCAGATATTCTTTTATTGATGACTTTCCTCAGAACTCTTATGTATAACTATTCATAGGCTTTCCTATGAATACCTTGTTGAATCACCTTTGTTCGCAAATTCAGCCATGAGTCTTTTTCAAGGTGGCACAAGCTTAGCAGATCTATTTTCAGGAAGTTTTACTCATTCTTCTTCATCAGGAAGGATGTAGCTGTTCCATAGATATTGAATTGGATCTTGGCTCTCTGCTTTGGGTTATTTTCCTGCTGAAAGTCTGTCGGCACAGTGATCTAAGATGTCGCTGTACACTGCTGCATTAATTTTTTCCCCTATCCTGACTAGTTTGCCAGTTTCTGACAGTAAGAAAAAAAAAACTATAATGCTGCCATCACCATGCTTGACCATGGGGATAGCATTTGTCTGGTGATGAACATTGCCTCAAGAGAATCCTGCCTCTGAGGTTTACAGACTATTCCTTGGACTTCATGCTGGCTGTGTGTGTGCTCTGAGACACTTGTGACTTCTGGAGCCTTATATAGACAGTCGTGTGGCTTTGCTATCCGACTATTACAGGTGGACTCAATTTAGGCTGTAAAATAATCTCAAAGATAATACAAATTTGAGCCTCATAGTAAAGGCTGTAAAATATTTATATCAATAAATATTATTTCTACTTGTAATCAACAAAAAAAATACATATATATAAATATTATTCATTGTCATAATCAGGTACTACCAATAGAGATTATTTTAATGCCCACTGGAATAAGGCTTTAACATAACTAAGCATAGCAAAAGTGCAGTAATGTGGATACTTTCAGGATGCATTGGACATCTGTATGTTGAGGAATGTAGCACAAGAGATCCACTTATTTCAACTGTATCTCTGAATTTATTGAACTTTTTGAAGGTTCAGATCCTTGATAATACTGTTGGCTTGAATGGTAAGGATGTAAAAAGCCTTCAAATGAATTGATCTATTATTGTTATTCACTTTGTAAAAAAAAACAAAACAAGAGTTCAACCTTTAATTTGAGTTCATTTTTCCAGAGGGGCAATCCAGTGGGGGGTATTTAGAAATAATTACACAGTCTGGCAGCAAAGCTGTTAGAGAGTCCAACAACTTCTAATTAGTAATCCTTAACTTTCTGTTTTTTTAGAGCATTTAATGTAGTATGAAAAAGAGGCCTTTTTTTAGCTGCTGCCAAAGGAGACCCTTGATTATCTTACCATTTTGGACAATGAAAAGGTTTAGTAAGAGAGGTAAAGACATTTCCTGAGCTCACTGTTGGAGGAAAAATGTGGCATCATGGGGGTCGCCAAGTTTCCTAAGAAGCTGAAAATGTTAACATCCCAACCACCCCTGAGGGAATAATGCCAGGATTAGAGGAATAGAAATTCAGTTTTCCAACAACAAATACTCCAGGTGGGCTTTGATTGTAACAAGGAATAACAAGGAATTTGGGAAAAGCCTTGTGCCCTCACTAATAGGATATATGATGATGTGATTGCTTCATTTAAAAATATTTTTTCAAAATAACAGCTTATTTTAAATAAAAGTCTGGTAACCCTGCCAGTAAACAAAAACTGGCCATCATCTTGTGTGCCATGATCCACGGCAAGAGAGATCTCAGGACAGGATGTTAGCCAAGGCTAATAAATCTTTATTTATGTACTCTGTATACTCTTCTGTACTCTCTTAGTAAAATGTTATGGGAGAAGATGACCAGTGTCTTATATGCAAAGTAGGATTGGTACAGGCAGCAGGGCAGACAGGGAAATATTGCCCTCACTGAATGAATAGCTATAACTCAATTAAAGGTTGGATTTTTGTAGATTTTTCATAAAAAAATAACTTCTGCAAAAGTTGTTTCTAGCAGTGGGTATGAATGTAATGAGCTATTTGTTCAACAAACATTAGAGGTGACTTGCCTTCTGTAGCTTATCTTATGACTGAAATATTCAAAGTTTGGATTTTATTACTCGAACGCATTTCTGTCTTTACAAAAGCAAACCTGTGATGACTTTATAAAAATAACATAAATACATCATACAACACAAACTATAAAGACTGCAATGTTTGTTTTTTTTGTGTGTGGGTTACAGCTGACTTATGAGGTTTTATTCAGCTTTCCACCACATTAGTGCGTCTTTCTTTTGAAGGTGACAGATTTGGAACTAATGAGTCGACTTAAGACAGCAAAAGTTTTCTTCTGAGATTTTCTTTAACAAATAAAACGTTTGTCATAGATATTCCAGATATTTTCCAGAGAACCATGAGACTCAACACATAACAAATTAGAATACCGCAAAACAAATCTCTCTTGCATTTCCTCATCTAAACTCACACCCAGATCAAGGTTGCCAATAATAGCAAACAACACAGCGAGCAGATGTAACTGGAACACTTTCCTGCTTAACTGGGAGTCATCCATTTTATGATGTTGTTTGCTATTTAAAAAAAATAACAAAACAATAATAATAAAAAAAAGATGATTAAAAGTTAGTTTGACAAACTTAAGCGCATGAAGTTTGGTTAGTTTGGTTGCCCAACATTTGATTTATGCAGGAATGTGTCACTAAACTGTGGAACTAAAGGCCTCATTGGTGAAGTGATGTTTACAAAGTATTGTGTAATAAACACTGTTGGGTATGTTCTGGGTTGTTGGGCCTCTGCAGTGCAATCAGACTTTCACTTCTTTGGTTAAATGCCGGATTTATGCCTGTGATAATCATTCCGACATAGGGTGGAGTAAACAGCACAATGGCTAAATGCAGCTCTCTTCCATCTGTTACCAGGATTAGTGTATTTTATTTTTCTCTTCTGCGTGCTGAGACAATGCATACTGCATTACAGAGGCTGCAGAGCAAAGCAAAATGCTTGTGTGAAGAGAAGAGCAATTGTATGGCATGAGATGGAAATGTTTAAAATATCGGTACCATTTTAAATGTTCTCCTCAAATATTTATAGCTTTTACAGACTGCAAGAAGTGCAGCTCGTCAACCTCTGTTTATAAAAAAAAAAGATAAAGTCCACATTCACTCTTTGGTTACTCAGTCCCAGTTCAAGTGAGAATCCAGGAAGTCAGAAGAGAAGACGGCCCCATGCACTGACATGTCCAAAGGGTTAATCCCATCATCAGGCACAGAGAGGGTGAGGTCCAGCCAATCCATACTGTCCACAGAAGTGTTTTGCAGGTTCACACCAGAGGGTGGCATGCTTTCACTGAAGTTCAGCTCCATGTGGACCAAAGGTGAGTTCAAGTCCTCCATCAGCTTCAGACTCCGAACCTCCGTATCATCTGCAAGGGTTTCCAGGTTGTTTCCTGGTGAGAGGAGCGGTACTCCAGGCAGCTGAGCCACCTGGACTAAAGGTGGAGGACGGGTCAGAACTGTGTTGATGGGAAGGGCGGTAACGCTGGCTGTGACAGGGAGAGGCTTTTCCAGGCTGGAAGGATCCTGCCTGATGAGAGGTGAGATCTCTGTAAAAACAAGACAACAGCACATTCAGAGGAAATCATAATTTTTCTTCTATGATAACTGTTCCAAAATGCAATTAAAGCCTCTCTTACCTCCACTTTCAATCAACACGTCGAATAGGTCGTCCATCTGCTGACATGCTGCTGTCGGACCCTGTAATAAATTAGAAGGTGATCTAATGTATAAATTATTTCTAGATAAGTTTAAATGATTTACTAGAATTTCTTTTTTCACCTGAGCAGTTGTTATCATGCTGCGTCTCTGTTTAACTGCATCCTCATAACGAGGTGGGTCTTTGGGCTTTGATGTATGATTTGTAAAAGCTGTTTGCTGCAAAATAACAGTGGGTGGGTTTGAAAAAGATTTCACACAAAGAAACCGAAGACAAGACCAGATGAGAAATAAGCATCAACTATAGTGGTTCTGATGCAAAAGGTGCCCTGAGCAAGCCTTTAGTTAAAGAAAGGAATTATGTGACCAAATTAAAGTTATATTGGAGGATTTTTGCAAATGTTTGAAAAGACCCGCCCTCTCCACTTAAAAAAATAAAGAAAATGCATGTGCACAACCCTGTACCTGCTCTCTATTTAATCTGTGCGACCATGCACAAGCTTGTTTCTCCTTGTGCACGCTTTGTTTACAAGTTGCTGCATCCATCTCTCATTACAAGCTTACTTTCCAAAATAAGATTTCTATGCTTTGCCCAAAGAGAACCCTATTACCATTGACTGAACATGCAGATTAACTTTAGAAAATATGTATTAACTTCAAGTGACGGATTACTTTTTTCACTCCGAACAGCATACCGCTGTAAGCAGTTAGCCAAATGATTCATATTTTGTGTTTTTACTGCCATAAAACCTACATAAAATTTTTGTAAAGCCGTACAAATAATAAATACATAAACTCTTATAAAGAATGATTCAAAGAAAGCAACAATGACATTTTTTTTTACCTTTGTTTTAAGCCCTTCTTGCGGAACTTGGTGAGAGGAAGGACTCTCACATCCAGACATCAGGAATGCACTGAGAAAGCCTTGCCCCTTGGTATCTGTCCCCCACGTCTGCATAGAACATTAGACAGCTTATAGATAATGTCTGATAAAGTACTGAATTGCAAACAAAATACAGTTATGTGGAAGAAAGAAGTCAAACATTCTTTATTCGGCAAAAAAAAAAAAAAAAAAACACAGTTTCACCTCCCTTATAAAACTGTTGAGCTCACTGGAAACAACATGGTGCACACATTATTTCTGGTAACATGTCCACACTTTTTATATGTTAGATGCTCAAAATGATTACATCACTTTGTTAAAGATGAGTAAACACAAATGTGAGAACAAAGAAGCTGCGTTTTCCACAGTAGCAAACAACTGACTGGTAACATGACCTGCGGTTAAACTGGCAGCACAACCTTAAAGCATGCTTCTATATTTATGGAGGTCATCGTGTGAATTTCTGGTGCCATTTGGAAAAAAAATTTTAAAACCACAAACCACAGCAGAGTGTGAATACTGAGACTAAGAAGACAGAACGAGGCTGAATGCAGCAAAGACGAACTATGTGCCCCCTACCTCTGTCAAATGTGGGGTGTGAGTGCTGGGTTGCTGCTGTGGTGCTGCTGATTTCTGTGGCTCATGTCCAGATCCCTGGATGCAGCCTGGAGCTGTGTTGTTAACGGCAGTGTGTAATTTAATGCCTTTGGCAGGGACTTCCACAGTGTCTGCTGAGCCAGAAAGGGATGTGGGCAGGAGGACTTGGACAGACTGCAGGTTTTCAGCCTTTGTGTTGGTCTCGTGGCCAATGACGAACTGATTTGGACTGGTTCTGTAGCCATGATCGCATGGTTCCTCCTGCTTGATCTGCACATGCAGACCAGGAGAGCTGCAAGCCACTGAGCAGTTTGAAAGACTCCTGTTTTCCTCTTTTATTTGGATTGGTACCAGCAAGCTGAGATGAGGGGGGGAATCACTCTGTTGGCTTCTTTTTTCCACCTCCAGTTGCATCTTTAGCTCCTCAACTAGCTTCTGCTCCTGCTCCAGCTTTCTCATCAGTTCCTCTATCTGAAGCTCCTTCTCATGTAGACGTTTGTCTTTTTCACAGTCCTTCTCGTTGACCTTCGGATGTGTTGGACCCTCTTCATGTTGGGTTTCCTTTGAGGGGCTTGAATGCAGAGCAGCATCATACGAAGCCTCTGCTACTGACTTCATAGGAATGTCAGTCATTTTAATATCTTCTATACCCAGTTTGGAGACTTTGGAAGCTATAAGGGAAACAGGCGGCGTTAAATGTATGCTTTCAGACTGTGAGTTTTCTGCGGTGACTCCTGACTCCATGGAAGCAACATGCTGGGTTTTAGTATTCTCATGAAACAGCTTGAGCCTCTCTATTAGGTCTGTCTTGGTCCCAGAAACTGGCAGAGATCTGAGTTTTAGCTCCATTTTCAGCTCAGCGACCTGTGAGAGTAAGAAAATAAAGATCATGTTTCAGGTGATGAATACTTGGAGCCTATCCCGGTCTGTAGCATGTAAATGACTAGTAGAATCAGCCTGTGTCACCTTCATTTCATCGATATTAGCCGGTAACTGATCCGACTTTGTGTTTGTATGGTGGAACAGCACAGGAACAGATGGAGAGCTTCCTCTAAGAACAAGAGCTGAGCAGCTGGTCTGTATCTCATTTGTAGACATGCTGTAGCGAGATGTTCAAAAATAGAATAGGAGATATTTGAGGGAAACCATTTTTTTTTGTTTGTTAACAATTAACTGCTGATTGGGGCCATACTTCAGTGTGACGGGTGCAGTTTGGGAGTTGTACTTCTGCTGCTGCAGGCTTAGGATCTGGAGCTGCAGGAACTGCTGCTGCTGCTGCAGGAGACGAGCATAATAAGAGTCCATAGGCACTTCACTGAGCTCCTGCTTCTGGTCAGGAGGGATGTACTGATGATACTTCAGCTTTTTAACCCGTGGCTTGAGTTCTTTGCTCTTTTTGCTGCGGCATTTGTCTGCAGATAGCTTCGCCAATGTTTGCTGCAAAGCATAACACACAGAGCAGGAGCAGATAAAGCCTCAGCAAACATAAATGCTTTGATATTTAATTTCAAAGTAAGTTATATCAGGAAGAACACAGTTTGCACTGAATGTGGAAACACTGCAAAGCTAAGTTAAACTGAATGCTGCTTCTTTTTACAGCATTTAGTTTGAAGATAGATAAGACAGATGATTGCTCTGACATCTCAAGATAGGATGAGGAAATGGGTAGTAAAAAGATGACATATTGTTTTACTTCTTGCACTTTCAGGAACTAGTACATATGAAAATGTTTGGCGTGCCTGCAAGTCTTATTTAAGACAAGAAACCAGAGGCTTGGCACGTTTAACCAGCATGCAGCCTCCACTTTGTCATCTTTACTCCTCTTTCATTTTCCCGTGCAAACTCTGTTCTTTTTGTTGATCACAGTACAATAAGACTTAGATAAATGCATGTTGTTTTTTGCCTCACTCCTTCTACTTTTAGCTTTGATTTTAAAGTCTGATTGAGGAAGACCAGTCTACAGATGTCAGATTTAAATGGCTATACTGCCAAAATATGCTAAAATGTTTTGCTCTCTGACCTGCGTTTGACTTGTTGGCTGATTATTTATCAACTCTTAAACTGCTCTGACTCCCAGTAAGATAAAATCCAGGCACTAACATTATCCGTCATTACATTTCCAAAGGAAACAAGAAAAAAAACTAAACAAAAACAGACAGAGTCAGTTAATCAAAGAAACATGACTCTGTACCAGAGGTCATTGACATAACGGCTATTTTTAAGCAAGATAAAAAACAAATTCAAAACACTGCTATTGTGTTTACAGGAAACACAAGAAAGTCAGCTTACTTTCGTAAGCACTGGTCCTGCTGAAACGGATTGTACAGCCGCAGTGATGGGCTGATGAGCTCCCTGGCTGCTGTGTTTGTCTGAAGTAGAGACATCTGATGATGGCTGAGGGCAACATGTTTGAGAGAACTGAGAAGAAGCAGAGGCAGAGATCAGGATCTAGAGGATCTACAACATCTGTTAACTATCCAGGATAACCAGAATAACGAAGCTTGATGAACGCTCTGAAAACACAAACCACTTGTCCAAATAGTAGTTAAAATCTGATTAAAGTTACATTTCCTTTTCTTGTATGCAGTCGATTAAAAAAGTTTCCCATTTTTTTCATATTACAATTTTACTGACTTTAACTTTGACTTTAAAAAAAGAAAATGTGTTTTTTGTGACAGAACAATATAAAATTACACATAACATAAAGTGGAAGGAAAGTGATACAGGTTTTTCCTCATTTTTAAATGAGACAATCTAAAAATCTAAAATGTGTGGCACATATCTGGACTAAGGCTCTTTTGTCAACACTTTGTTGAGTTGTGCAATTTAAACAACAAATCTTTTAGGAAATGTCTATTTTAATCCTCTTTCTGTGTCTGCTGAAGAAAATCATCCCCATAGCATCATTCTGCTCGCACCATGTTTTACTGCACAATGTTACTTTTTCACCATAAATTGCACATAGATGCCGAAGCTCAGTTTGTGTCTCCTCTGACCAGAGCATTTTTTTTTTTTACATGTCAACTGTTCTTTGAATGGGTTGGAACAAATAAAAAAAATAATAAAAAACTCTGTATAATGATATCTATGTTTAACAATGACAAATTGGGACAGAATTAAAGTGGTAGCTATTTTGAGCAGCTTTGAACCACAGCAATTTAATCACTGCTCCTTTAATAAAACTTCTAAATTTAGTTGGTTTCCCTATTGACTAGGAAATACAATCATGTTCGATCACAGAGCTGAATAAATGTATTTTGTACCTGCAGTGAAGGGCTGCGATCAGAGGATGCATTTGAAACCTCAGCTCCTCTTGATTCCTTTGGGGAGGGCAACGTTTGGGGAGGAGATGGTTGACTGTCGGGCTGCTGTGATGATAATGCATCACTGCTGTCCTCATCAAAGCTATAAACATCTGGAACATGTGGTGTGTCTGAGTAATCCGCCTTACCATCTGCAAGGTAAGCAAAGAGGTTTATTAAGGAATAAAGCCACTTCAGCTGTAGAACTGCAGTGGTTGTTGAGACAATTAAACATACATAGAGACATATTTAAGGCTTAGACCACAGGTGGATGAAAGCCTTTTTATGATAATAATGACGCAACACGTTTCGTCCCTTTGTGAGTAATGTTTGCTTACGCTTACTGTTTATTAGTTCTTTAACTTCAGGGTCTATTGGCAGGATCTTCTTCACCAGCTCCATGGATCCAGGTCGCTGGGTGATTTTCTTATTCAGATCATTGGCCAGTCTTGCCCTCTTTAGTTTAATCTGTGTGGCCTGGAGGGAGGGCTCTGCCGGAGTTTCTGATGAATAAAAAGAGGATGCACGACTATGATCCAGCTCCTCAGTCAGACTGATTTGTCATTGTGACTCAATGAAGGCTCAGTCGGACCTCTCACACAGTCTACCGCAAAATAACATTCACATAGACGTATGGTTGTTGAACAAGCAGTAATATCTGCAGACAGATGAATAGCAACCTTACTCATTCTGCTTATCCAAACACTATCACCCAAACACACACGAAAAGGGATTACCTTCTAGGATATGCATACGGATCAGTTCTGAGCGTTCCGGTCTGCTGCAGAGTTTATGCTTTAGGAAATTCCCTTTCTGATAAAAACAGACATGAAAGTATTTGTTTAAATATTTTTTGATCATTATTAAAGTCACAAATGAACATATTCATGTAAAAGATAACGTAGAGTCATACTCTGGCTCTCTGTAGGCTTCGGATCTGCTTGTGGAAGGCAACAGGGCTTTTTAGAGCTAGAAAAAAAAAATCAAATAAGCATAAACATGAAAACACAAAATATTTACATGCTTCTGATTTCAGCCTGATAAGGTATTTACTCTCCCTAAATAGGAAGCTCAAAATGTTTGTTGTGTTCCAACAGAAAGAAAGTTAGAAAACAAGTTTGATGTTTTCAGGCTGTAAAAGTTGATTGAATGTAGAAAATATAGATTATATAATTATAAAACAGGTGATTAAATTCATGCCAACATTTGTTGGCTTGATCAGCAACTGTGGCGTTATTTCTTTTTCCCATGCTTACATTTATGTTCTTGTCTCTGCTACTCTGCGTGACCATGTCCTCAGTTAGCAGAGCTCGTGGGAGTGAAACAGGAAGTGCCAGCTTTACTGACTCAAACAAAGCGATCACTCTGAGCAGGGAGTTGCTTTTTGATCGCTCAGAATAAACTCATCCTTCTGTAGAAGAGGTCTGGGTCACCGACTAGTCACCTCTGAAACGATGGCCATTGTTTGGTTTAATGATGTACTGATCAAAAGGACTCCAAGGAATGTCTCAGAAAAGTACAGTAAAAACATTCCTGCTTATTACTTTCACCTTCATACATTATTATGAAGAATATTATAAATGTTAAAGCAAAGCAGTCTGTAGTAAAAATAAAAAAAGATTACAATAAATGACTACAGCAACACTTTGACCAGTTTCAATCAAACTGATCAGTACCATTAGAAGTTAAAACTAGAAAGTTACATATACTGTACATTTATTCTCTCCCAGCACGTCAATGTTCCCTTAAGCAAATTTCTTATTCCTACATCGTGTTGCACAAAGATTATATGTGTTTTTTTAATACAAACAGTAGCTTGTTGAGGGAGACTCACAGAGTAAAAGTGCTTTTAATGGTCAGCATAAACAGAAAGCATCCACCATTTTTTTTAAGAATTAATGGAGTTAACAAAGTGTGAAAAGAGTTGAATCTGAGATGTGCATCCCCTAAACTTAACTACATCTAAGAAGAGGAAAAGTCACTCTCCTGAAAGTCTCATTGCTGATTCATGTGGGGTAGTGGAGTCAGAGAGGGGCAGGCAAAGGTTCTCCAAACAGAGCAGGAAGACAGGAAGACGGGATGTCTTCCATCCTGCCCTAACGCTCCATATATCAGGAGGGAAGTCACAGTTCCAGCTTCTCTTGAACTGACTGTAAAACTAAATATCCTCCCACTCAAAGAGATCCCACTGCCTCTTTGGTCACACGAGCAAATGCAGTTGAGAGTTGATTGGTTCTTTCAGGTATAGAAGTCAGTCATCATTATCAGAATAGTGATGTGACTATTATCACTGTTCATAAGACTTAAGCTGTTAATAGATTTCTATATCTAAACCCATCTGTTACAATAGAGTACACAGCAGCAAATACTGTTTCCTCATTTAAACAGTTAAAGGTGTATTTCAATCATTTTTAGGGACTTCACTTTTTTATTGCTGTCTAAGCCACCCCCCCCCCCCACCCCCCCCTTTTTGAGGAGTTTATAAGATGTAGAATAAGATGGGATACTCACGTGGCATTATGCCTTGCTCCACAAGCTGCTCCCTTGTCCTCCTCTGCTGCAGACATTGTTGAAGGACTGCAAGAGTGAAGAATGCAGAGGTTAAACATTTACTGTTTAGAAACAACTTTGACTCATATAACAACCATCTGTGAAACCTGCTGGCCTTCAAATAACACAGAGATGGTTATTATTTTTCAATCAGTGTGTTACCATGAAAGCCTAGCACCAAACTTTGCTTATAACCACAGTTATGCTGCTTAGTTCCTGTATGGTCCTGGCTTAGAGCCCCCCCTAAAGAGACAGTGTTAGAGTGTGTTCTGCAAATGAAATGCAGAAACAATTAAAATAGGGTAAAACTTCAGGGCTGCAGGATTTTTTGGAAAGTTCTGTGGTTTAATGAAAGATATTTGGTGATTGAATGAAATGTCCTCCAGGAGAAAGTCTTAAGTTTTAGATCTATCTGTATAAAGTTTGAGGATGCACCGTCTGTTTTCATTTCCCAAAAATGTAAACTGTAGTAGGATCCTGGTTTAAATATTTACAAACAAGTTAGTGTGGACTTGTTTCTCCAATAGAGTAAATCACAGAAAGAGAGAGAGAAAAAATTTGACGAGAAGGTTAGGGGGTGATGGTGACGCATGAGGCCAAGGCCCTTATCGTCATACTCTGTGGTGAAGCAAAGCCAGCTTAGCCGGATTTGCTCAGTGGCTTGGGAGAAACAGTCCCCCCTCATACACAAACACACAAAACATGGACCTGCTCAACTCCCCTGGGAAAGACGTTGGGTCCGAACAGGACTCTGTGACTCATTTGAGCAAAAATAAATCAGGCAGCTGTGAGAACAAGGCCTGGGAACCGTGACATTTTTTCGGGGTAGTTATGAGGGTGGGATCGCTGGTTTATTGTAGAGCCGAGGGGGATGTTCATGGGCTTCAACTGGTGGACAAGGGAATGGAGATTGACAAGAGCCGAGGCAAAGGGTGGAAGGCCGAGTCCACTCTCACAGCAGCACATCATCTCCAGAACAGAGAAAACTCTGTTCCTTCTCTGCCTGTTGTGTTTTCTATTACAAACCAAGACCAACGCGGTTTATATCCAGCAGTCTGAAAGAAAAAAAATCTATATTGGTTTCTTTCAATATTTGTTACTTAAAAAGATGCCAGAGGAAAACTTTTTTATTACTGTACAACTGCATATCAATAGCATGGAAAAGCTGCCTCCAAGCAGTATGAAGAGAGCTGGCTTTAATTTGAGCATCACTATAAGGGTACAGCTCACGCCCGCGGTCCTCCTCATTGTGTCATCTTGTGTTGAGCTTGAACCATAGCTAACCTTTATGTGATGCAAACTGGCTCCTGCTCACCAGTAAAGCATAAACAGAGGTTATAAAGAAACACAGAGGGGGGGCTCTGCTGGAATCCTTGTCTGCTGATGTAATCTCTAATCTCAGACCCATGTTGTTCTCAGCAAATCACCCCTAGAGGTCTGTCGTCAGCCTCTTTCTTTAATTTGACTGTTTTTTTCCCCATGAACTGCACAAACAAACATCTAAGTAAATGTCTAAAATGGCTAAAAGTATGAAAACTTTGCTGTTGTAACCACAATGGAACGTTATTTGTAAATCTTATGGTATTTATGATCATATAAGCATAAATTAATAGATAATTTTCGCTGTTAAGATGTAGTTTGGGCAGACTTCATATAGATGTAACAGACCTTACTTAATATGCTGATTAGGGCTTTTTATTCTCAGTGTGTTCAATAATGTTTATGCATAAAAAAATAAACATCTTATTTTTTTGTTTTTTCACCTTGCGTATAGGACATTTCTAGACAATCAAAATAAAAATGTGTTGAGTATTATCAATAAACTCCTCAGAGTAACAAAGCTAATGTTAACTTCTAATTGAATTTTCTCTCAAAATGAAATCAGGCCTTTAGTTTTTATACCTATATTTGTCCTTAGTTGTAAATTGATGGTGCAAACATTGATTCAGATGACTTGTGACTTGGTTGGCCTTTCTGAGGTTATTTGGCCCCTCCTCTCTGGCTTTAAATAACTTTAGAAAAAAAAGGTGCAACATGTTATATCTGACAGGAAGGACTCATTTTAATATTGTGACTTTTTTTCTTGGAATTTTTTTAAAGCTTTTTTTTAAACTCTTTTATGGCGTATGAGATATATGGGCTTAGACACTGTTCTTAATTCTCTAGAAACAAAGACAATACAAAGGGTCATTAATTACTATATACTATTAATAGTACTATATGGCATGTTTACAATGTGTGTTTTTTGGCTCACGTTGGGTTTCTGGCTGTAGAAAAAAATTTATCGAACAATGATTTAATGACTGGAAGCGAATATAGGTGTGATAAAAAGGGTCTCTAACCACAGCACTACAGTCGCCTGAAGTTGCTTATTTGCAAGCTCAAGTAGTAGGTTTTGAATAGCTGTTCACTGTAAAAGCCACAATGCATTGAAAGAGGAAAGTAAAATTATGCAGTAGAGTCCATTTTACTACACATACATTTCAAGTAATTAGATAGGAATCCATTTGTTTAGCATTTACTTTTAATGTTCAATAAACATAATAATACATACCTCCTAAATGTTGATTCATATATGTAAATTATATTAATTTAAGTGTCCCTGGAGTCATCATTTCTTAATTTGCTGTTGAATGTAATACTAGCATCAATGTGTAACAAAAACTAAAAAGTCATGTTATTCAGGTGAAAGATTACTTTTTACTGCACTAAGACATGAGGGAACATTTAAGTATATATATATAACATATGTACTAAGTAAAATAGTAAATACTATATTTTTTATTTATCCTTTATTTAACCAGGTAATACCCATTGAGATTAAAAATCTCTTTTGCAAGGGAGACCTGGCCAAGATAGGCATCAAAATTACATCACATCATTACATATGTATAAAAGACACACACATAAAAGCCAAATATGCACTTACAATAAAATTTCAATTAAAACATTGACATGTGAGGGAGTCTAACTCAAAACATCTAATTCTCAACTTAAAAGTATTCAAAGGAACCAATTTACTAAGTTTCATGTTATTTTGCAGCAAATTCCATGTAAAGGGAGCAGAGTAAGCAAAGGCCTTTTTACCCAGCTCAGTACTGACACGTGGGACAGAAAACAAGACAACAGCCTGAGAACGGAGAGAGTAATGACCAGTACTTTTTTTCATAAGAAGTGAACATAAATAAGATGGAAGCGCACCAAGAATAGCCTTATATATAAATATATACCAATGACAAAGCCTCCGTGTAGCCAAGGCAGACCACCCTACACGAGAATACAGCTCACAGTGATGGGTGCGAGCTTTACAATTAGTAATAAATCTCAATGATGCGTGATAGGCTGCGTCTATCATCTGCAGGCATTGAGCAGATGAATGCATATATAATATATCACCATAGTCCAGCACAGTTAAAAAAGTGGATGCCACCAACCGTTTTTTTACATTAAAAGAAAAGCACAGCTTATTTCGAAAGTAAAAACCCAATTTTAGTCTCAACTTTCTCACTAGACAGTGAACATGAGGCTTAAATGATAGGTTGTCATCAATGACAATACCAAGATACTTATAAGTTGAAACTATCTGTATTTCACGACCATCAAGAGTAACCACTGAAGGAACATTCAGTGACCTGTTCCGAAGGTCTGTGAAAAGCATACATTTAGTTTTTTCTGCATTGAGCACAAGTTTCAACTGTAGCAAAGTATTTTGGACCACATTAAAAGCATTCTGTAAGTGTGCAATGGCTTGTTTAAGAGAAGGTGCACAGCAGTAAATAACTGTATCATCTGCATAAAAATGAAAATTTGCATCAGACACATGCCGATTAAGATCATTTATATAAATAGTAAATAAAAGAGGGCCTAATACAGAGCCTTGTGGAACCCCTTTAAAGATTGGTAAAATACCAGATTGAACACCATCATGCTTAATGCACTGAGTTCTGTCACTAAGATAGTTTGAAAACCAAGAGACAGTTTTCTTTGAAAACCCTGATTTAAGAAGCCTAATCTTTAGAACATCATGATCAACCGTGTCAAACGCTTTTGACAAATCAATAAAAAGTGATGCACAGTGCTGCTTCTTGTCACGAGCAACAGAGATATCATTTATCACCTTCATTGCAGCTGTGATGGTACTATGTTTTTTTCTAAAACCTGACTGAACTGGGGATAAAATGTCCTGGGCGTGCAAGAAGTCTTTCATCTGATCACTCACCAGGGATTCAAGCATTTTGGCCAAAACAGACAAATAGAAATTGGTCTATAATTATTTAAATTTGACGGGTCACCCCCTTTCAGTAATGGACAAACAAATGCAGATTTCCAGATTTTAGGAATAGTGTTGCTCTTTAAAGTATGGTTAAAAAGGTACGTTAGAGGCTGTGCTACACAATCAGCAGCTATTTTTAAGAAATAGGGTTCTATAAGATCAGGTCCTGGCGGTTTTTCAGGAACCAGTCCTTTTAGGGCTTTTTGAACGTCAGCCACTGAAAATGGAACGAGATTAAAAACACCCGTAGTGACTGGCACATCTCCACAGGGTGTCACAGCATAAGGACAAACAGTGTCAAACAAAGAACCTGACTGAATAAAATGCTCATTAAAATGATTCAGTATCTCTAGCTTGTCATAAACTACTACAGACTCTTTCATAATAGAAGAAGGAACATTGATACTATCTTTGTTAGAAGAAAGTAATTTTATAGCCTTCCAGAATTTTCTGGGGTCATTTAAGTTATTAGTAGTGACTGACAGATAAAAATCAGATTTTGCTTTCTTAATAGAAGAAGAACATTTGTTTCTTAGCCGTCTAAAAGCAAGCCAATCAGACGAAGAGCCCGTTTTTCTTGCTTTGGCCCAAGCTAAATTGCGGTCATGAAGAATATCTCCAAGCTCAGAGGAAAACCAGGGATTATCCCGCCCCTTAACTCTAAATCTCTTTAGTGGGGCGTGTTTATTTATTACTTGCAGAAAACTATCCCGGAAAAAGATCTAGGCTGACTCCACATCGGGAATCAGCTCCATTCTACTCCAATCACAATTAAACAAATCATGGCAAAAGCCCTGTTCATTAAAATTTTTAAGATTTCTCTTACATATTACACGAGGTTTACCTTTAGGCAACTTAGTATTCCTTACAGCAGTGATAACGCAGTGGTCACTTAGGTCATTGCAAAAAACACCAACAGCAGAAAATTTGTGCGGGACATTAGTCAAAATTAAATCAATTAATGTGGATTTCTCATGGCACTTAAGATTTAAACGAGTGGGAGAGTTGATTAATTGTGTAAAATTGACAGAATCACAAAATGACTTAAATTCATCTGAGCAAGGTTTTAGCCAGTCCCAGTTTAGGTCACCTGCTAAAATAATTTCAGAGTAGTCCAATCTGGATAAGAGTTGAATAAGTGTCTGCAATGCAGTACTGAGGGCAGAAGGAGGCCTATAACACCCGACAACAGTAACATAAAGGCCCTTGGCCAACTCCACCCTCACTGCCAAAAATTCCAGCTGCTTACCAACTGATTCTGAATGGACTAACTTCATATTAAATTTAGATTTAGCATAAATAGCAACCCCACCACCCTTCCTTAATCTGTCAGTAAGAAACACATTATAACCATTTAATCCGATGTCCGAATCAGTAATTGATTTTGTCAGCCCAGTTTCAGACAGCACAACAATATCTGCATCTGTTAAATTCACCCAAATTCTAAGCAGATCCATTTTGGGTAACAAACTGCGAACATTTAGGTGAATTACACTCAAACCAGACATGGATTTCACATCAGATGGCAATGAAATACACTGCAACTCAGGACCTGGATTTGGCTGAACGTTGCCAGACAAAAGCAGCAATAAGAATATTAACCATCTCTGTTTACCATCAGTATACAACAGATCTGTAGAGTTTTTAAAATGAAAGTCCCAGAAATGTCTGTCATCAAATGCAAAATAGTCATTTAAAATCAAGAGATTTTGAAGCTGATGAATATCTCTGGGTAGAAACCAGGCTAAATTTAAGTCCTTTGCCAACTCTTTCGGCATTTGAGGGGAATGCACAAAGGCTGAACAGTTGAATCCATAGGCTACATCCAAAGAGCCATAAATGTTGTAAGATGTACTCACCGAGTGTAAATCACTTGATCTTAGATTTTGCACAAACAATGAGCAAAGCAACATTAAAAGAAAAGCCATGTTAGCAGAGGATGTTTGCAAAACCCGAATGAGCTGACAGGGCCTCAGGATCCACGCAGAGCCTGGAGTTGTTAGCTGGGCTGCCAGGGTCCGGAGAAGCCAGCAGAACCCCAAGATCGAAGTGAAATCTGGAAGGGCCAGCAAGGCCACAGGATCCAAACAGCACCCAGAGACAGTAACTGGCCTGCTAGGGCCTGAAGCCTAGAGATGGTAGCAGGGTTAGAGCTGAGCCAGAGAAGGAGGTTGGTAGCTAGGCTGTTTGGGCCTGGAGCCTAGAGATGGTAGCAGGGCCTCACGATCCAAGTAGAGCCAGAAGATGGAAGCTGGGTTGCCAGGTCCTATAGAGGCTCGGAGGGCCTCAATATCCAAGCAGAGCCAGGAGGTGATAGCTGGGCTATTTAGAGCCTGGAGTCTCAAAATGGTAGCTGGACTGCTAGGGCTAACAGGAAGAGCCTGGAGATGGAGCTTTTCTGCAACAACGTAGTCCATAATCTAAAAAATTCTCCTTATCTAAAAGCCAAAGAACTCAAGCATAGAATCTGCCAAGAAATTTCTCCATATATGAGTATAAAAGCAAGCAAAATGAGTATAAATGAGAATAGGCGACAAACACACATCAAACCATTCATGCCGCCATCTTGAAAGATATATGCATGATAATCATCATCATCTTTATTTATAGAGCACTATAAAAAAGCAACAGCTGAAAACAAACTGCTGAATATAGCTAAAAATAGGTTGTAACTGCAGCATATTTATTTCATTAAAAGATGGGCTCTGAAAGACTTTCAGTAAGTGTGTGCAGGTATTTGAATGGCACTGAGAGGTTCCATAGAAAATATAGATTGGTTATCAGTCTGCTATAGTTTGTATTTTTGCTCTAGGCTTTTTTGTGGCAAAGTCCTCAGCAGCTTATGAATTTAAAGAGGAAAGATTAAAGATATGCAAATATTGAGCAGAACCTTGATATGCTCTATATCTGGCAGTTGCACTTAATTTGCAAGCAGCGAACTACACACACATTAATGTTTTGTCTTTATGTTGGTTCTAGATCAGCCATTTTAAACAATAATTTTACTAACCCAATGTATGCATTATTTCAATAATAAAATGGGATGTGATAAGGAAGAAAAAGCACCTGATTTGAATTTACCCCTGCAAATGGAGGGGCTCTCCACATCCAGGCAAGCCATGGAGGACAGATCTTGTTTTCTTCTTGGCCAGCTCTGGAGTCCCATGGAGTGATGAGGCCAGAGCAGATCCAACAGGAGTTAAAAAGAAGGAGAGAAGACCCTGTTCTGAGTGAACAGCATGTGGTTCGTTGCCTCCTCTGTCTCTCTGTTGGCCTCACTAGCGAAAGTTTGTAGGTGTGTGTGTGAGACTGTGTGAGCCAAGAGTCAACTGAGGAGGAGGGAACACAGTGCTGCTCAAATTAACCCTTGCTTGGTCAGATAACTGTATTCATTGAGCTTCTATAGGAGGAGCAAGGCAACTTTTAATATTCTGTGAAATATGGTAGTGATTACTAACCAGGATATTCCCTTAGCAGGGGACAAAAACTATTTATACATAACTTGTAAAAAATGTCTTATAAACACTCAAGTGTTTTCTCATCTGTATATATTTTGTGTTAATTATTTTGTAAAATTAATTATTTTATGGAAAAAAAACATTTAACACTGACATTGTGTGCAAGTTATGTTTTTTTGGCTTCTCTGGTGGAGACGTTTAATAAGGCTATACAAATTAGTTATGTAATTTTTTTTTCATTTGCTGTTTTTATCTAGAGCAGGGAATAAAAATTGTTATTCTTAAAAGAAGTACAGGTTTGACTAAAGCAATAGTAAATCCCTTAACAATCTCTTAGAATAAACAAAGAATTTTCTAAACTATTTCTTCCTTTTGGGCTGATCAGAATTTACATGTATAACAGATAACTAGTCTGTAATACATGTATTTATTTTTACTCTATTTTAGAGATGTGACATCATCACAGGCTAATTATATACCCAAAAAGCTATGTGAAGACCAAAAACACACACACAAAAAAAACACCTACTGGCAGGGGCGGATCTAAATGGTGGGCCAGAAGGGCCATGCCCCCCTTTCACCCAAAAAGTGACAAAAAATAGCAATGGATTATTTACAACAATATACTACAATTCAAGAGGACGAATATGGAATTCATGCCATTTTATTATTATTATTATTATTTTTAAATATTTTATGGAGTAGAGTTTATCTCCATTGCTAATTAGGAGTCTTCTGTGTAATTAAAGATAAAAATCAACTGCTCAGCCCAATTAATTTATATATTATGTAGAACCATAAATCATTTTAAACAGCACCAATTTATAAATATGTGCAAAGCTTTATTAGCAATAGCAAAAAATAAATAAAAATAAAAAAATCAATCAGTCAATCTATTTTTAAAATATATATGTAGGTTCATTGTGATAAGTATAGGTTGACCCAGAACTGATTTCGGTGCCTATTGGTTTTGAGCCACCCCTCAGTGCATATTGCTCCCTGCCTGGCCACCCCTGTGAACATTTTCTGGAACCGCCACTGCTTACTGGTACAGGGACAACTTTAGGCTATAAAAAAAAGTAAAGAATTAACAGGAGGGGGTTCCCATTGAGCAGAAATTGGTTGAGAAGACATTAAAAAGACAATAATATTTATGTCTAAATCTACAGAGAAAGAACGTGCATGAAAACAATATCTAACCCAAATGCAAGAGCACATAAAGTCCATACTTAGATGCTCAGATGAAGGATTTTCTTAGAATAGGCCCACAGCGACACAGATGCTCCACTTTAGAAGGACCAGAAGAAAAAAGCGGAGGGGCTTTGATGCTGTGGGCTTGTTTCTCTCTAAATGCACAAGAACCTTGTTGGATTGAGTTTCGGAATACAAAGATGTTTTAGATAAGAATTATGTGGACTCTGTCTATCAAATAATAAACTTTAGCAACTGGGTGTCTCAGCAGGAATATGGTACAAATTATGTGGACAAAAGACACACATGTTTAATTAGAAAAAAAGGGAAGATTCGTCCATTGTCTAAATCTAACAGAAAATCTGTAGGATGAGAGCAAGCGGCTCCTGTACTCTGGAGGATCAAGCTTGATGCTCCAGATGCACGTTCTAACATTGGGAATTTCTTAAGAAAACTAGGTGTTTTAGAAGACCTGGTGCTGTTGCATTGGTAAAATTCAGAATCTGCAAACAGGAGTACAAACTAGCTTAATATTAATAAAAAAAGTAATTTTAAAGCAGAAAACTTCTCTAAATTAAACATTGGGACAAAATGTTCAGAATGAGATTATGATGTTGTAAGAAAGACGGAAGAGGAATTCCCTGAAGAGCATTGCTTTTCACTGAGACATGTATTAAAAACAATGCAATTTATACTTATGTTGGAGGTAACTACAATACATTTTCTAAGTCTTATCTGTAAATGTTCAGGAAATTAAACAACAGATCATAAAAGGTGTTTAAAGAAGAAATGAGCAAAAGATATGACAAAGCAACCAAATCCATGTTTCAAACATGATGGATGCCATTCTTAACCCTGTAATGCCAAATGTATCATATTTGATACGGTTTCTGAAATGTTTTGCGGTACGACACCTTTTGCATAATTTAATGGTAAAAACTTTGCTCAAAATCCTATTGTACACAATCAGATATAACTGATAACAGAGGGCAGAAGACTACACAAAAAATAATTTTGACTTATCGCATAGTAATGAATTATTAATATCAAAAATGTATTTCAAGTTTTTTCCACACTCTAAGCTAAAATTATGTTATAAAGTCTAATACTCTAAATGCGTTTTAATCGTTTGACATAGCTACATTACATAGATGAAGAATGAACTGACAGACAAACAGGCTATTCTTAGTCCTCCTGCTTTTTCAGTGAAGTGCCTGAAAAAAAGTGACAACTGGAAAGACTGAGCTGCTGTGCTTGGCATTAACACAGTTCAGTTGTAAATCGAGAAGTATACATGTTCAAGAGTCCTTGTGTGGGAAGTTGGGAAATATTGGTGTCGGTAGAGGAACAGCGGATCGAGGCAGGCAGCATGTTGTTACAGCCCACCGCTGGGACTTAATAATGGTGAGCGAAGTCTGAAAATGATGGGAGAGCAGCAGGAGGAGGAGGACTGGGTTTCTGGGCTTTGGGGGACTGGACTGGAAAAATATCTTTAGTATTTCACTTATTAATTACAGGTCCAGTGAACAGGTCAAAGACACAAAACAAGATATTTGATGACTATTTTGCACGCCTGTTTAGCAATGAAGTCTGAGTTCTTTTCTACTTTTCATTTTTCACTCTAGTCTGGGACGGCTGGAAATATTTGCTCCTTTGTTGGAAGAAATTAATTCTCACTTAGATCATAATTTTAATTGGATATGTGACTGAGCTGAAGGCAATAAATCAAATCAAGGGAATTCGTTCGATTCTATGGTGCTGTTGGTCTATCAAATGCATCTTTTTGATTTATTATCTGCAGCTCAAAAACCTTTTAAACATACACAATTTCATGACTGACAACTAAAGTAATCTCAGCATAACGACTACGATTCTTATTTTCTGCGTTTCCTATCGGACACATATTTTCACTGACATATGGTTTTATAAATACTCATTTAAATAAGATTGAGTGTGGAGGTTTTTGGATACTATTTTGAATTTGATTTATGAAGCAGACCGGTGCTGAGGAACACTGCAACAACCTGTTTATCATCTGGAGTGTTTGGATTTTCTGAGTGCTGAGTGTGCCACCATATCTTTTTGGGCTTTGTTTGTAAAACAGCTTAGTTTCTGAAAACATTCCTAAACCAGAATATTTGGCTGATTTCATGTTCAGGCTCGAATCTTGATGCTGATTGTTTTCCGTACATCGATGTTCCATGAATATATGCAATAAAACAAACAAAGAATTCAAACTCATTTTGCAATGTAGTCATGACTAAGTTGCAAACTGTGTCTTGCTCTTATGTCCAGGTTAGAATCAACAATTCTCCTCATAAAGCCCTTCATCCATCCGTTTTCTCCCACTTAGTTTTGTCAGCATCGCAGTGAGGCTAGTGCCTCCATGCAGAAAGACTCCGGGCCAGGAATCGAACTCAGATCCTTCTTGTTGCAAGACAGTAGTGCTACCCACTGCAACACCATGAAGCACTACCCATAAAGCCATCCTTTATATTTTAGGGCTGATCTTTAGGTTTCTAACAGAGCAGTGTGTTCTTATGTAGGGTTCCTAGAGGTTTTTTGAGGGTCTAAAAGTGGTATGTGAGAGATACCTTTCGGTTACCTGGTAAAGCCAAATGTTTGTGAATGGCAGATCTCATTCTACCTTTCAAATTAGTTGTAAAACTTTCCTTTTTAAGCATCTACTGACTTAGGCTGCATGCATATATGATGACCACCCTACTATCTCCTTTTGCTCTCAAATGTATTACATTGATTTACTCCTGCTATTCATCTCCTATACTCTCTCTGTTGTTTCTTTTCACAGAAATGACAGTTATTAAAAGCACATCATCTTATTTTGGAGGGACTGAAAATGATGAAGCTCTCTCTTACATTATTTATTGTTTGCGTAATCACTCTTCTATTGTTACATTTGCTGCATTCAAACTATTTAGCTCCTGATAATATTGTTATTAAAAAAACGCAAGCAACAATATGATCAGTTTAATTACAAAATGCATTTTTATCAAATGTTCCAAAAGAGGGAACATGGAAGAAAAAGCTTGCTTGACAAAAACAAAAATATTTGAATGAACATTGTGTTTACTGAGTTGTGTTTTTTGACAGGTTTCTGTCTTCTTTTAGCACTTCAAATGATTATTCAGCTCTGTACTATAACAGTTTTCAACATTTCTGACAAAATACTTAAAGTTGTGTAAATCATCTTTTAAAAGCAGGACATTAACCCAACTTAATCTTTTGGAAAACCTAATTTATAGAATCAAACATTCACTTCTGTTTCATGGCAGAATGTGGATCTCTATTAGTCTTTTTTTCTAGGTCCTAGACATATTGTTTATTTAATAATATTGTCCAGAATGATACCTCTAAGGAGTTTTCTCTTCTTCTTTTTTATCACATTATTAAAGGAAATATAAAGATCACAAACCATATGTTTTTACAGATTCTCATGACATAATAAAGGATCAAGAATATGCATGAGAAAACACAATATTTTATATTCCTGTAGTTTACATTTAAGTAGCTGTGTTTCTTTAATGGTGTTGTAGTAGCAACAGTCCGTGGATGGGATCTCAGTAGGCTTAGAGTCAGCAGTAAAATGAATCTAACTTAAAAAAAGATACATTAAAGTCTAAAAGC